GAGGCTGCGGGGCCCGGGAGCGGCCGCTGCCCTCCGGTCTGGGCGACAGGGTGAGACTCCGACTCAGAAAACAAAGAAAAAAGAAAAGCGCGCACGGTTCCTGGCGCGCAGGAGGTGAGCTCGTGGGTCCCCGCAGTCCCCTCCACAGCAGCTTCCCTCTGGCTGGGGGTGGCCTGTCCCTGGAGGCGGCCCCGCAGGAGCTGAGCTCGTGGGCACAGGCCGTCCTCGCCACAGCAGCTTCCCTCTGGCTGGAGGTGGCCTGTCCCTGGAGGCGGCCCCGCAGGAGGTGAGCTCGTGGGCACAGGCCGTCCTCGCCACAGCAGCTTCCCTCTGGCTGGAGGTGGCCTGTCCCTGGAGGCGGCCCCGCAGGAGCTGAGCTCGTGGGCACAGGCCGTCCTCGCCACAGCAGCTTCCCTCTGGCTGGAGGTGGCCTGTCCCTGGAGGCGGCCCCGCAGGAGCTGAGCTCGTGGGCACAGGCCGTCCTCGCCACAGCAGCTTCCCTCTGGCTGGAGGTGGCCTGTCCCTGGAGGCGGCCCCGCAGGAGCTGAGCTCGTGGGGACACGGCCGACCCCTCCACAGCAGCTTCCCTCTGGCTGGAGGTGGTCCCACGGGAGCTGAGCTCGTGGGGACACAGCAGCTGGCACAGCCCAGCTCTCTGGGCATACTCTTCCCTTGCACTCCGTGTCCGGTGGGGCTCAGACTCCCCCCGCTGCCCCGTGTGTGCGTGGGGAGCCCCCCGCTGTTCTCAGCGGTGAGGCTAAGAGGTGGCTCCCGTGGATCACACATTTAGGAGGGACCCCAGAGCCGCGGCGTGTCTGGCGAGCGCCTTGGGCGGGGCAGGGTTTTACTCACCCTGGGCAGGGCGTGCGAGGCGGATGCACATCTAGACAGCAGGAGTGTTCGCCGGGCGCGTGGCACTCAGGTCCTTGGGGCAGTGATGCCCACCTGCCACGCAGACCCAGCACAGGGGCCCATCGTGAAGCAGAGATGGGGCATGGGGCGGGCCTCTTTATTTTGGCTTCCACCGGGAGGAGAGGGTGGGGCGGGCGGGGCCGGCTTAGGATCAGCGAGCTAGGTTTGAAAGGGGCACCCTGGAAGTGCACACTCACTGCGATCGCTAGAGCGTGTTGTTGAAACTCTCAAGGACTCTGGCGTCACAGTTTGCTCACAGGTGACCGATAGGCCCTGAGTGTACAGAGATTCGAGCCTGGTTCATACAGGGAAGGGGTGAGGCTGGCCGAGCGGCTTAGTAGACTCTTTTCTGACTTGGTTTGCGTCATTTTTGTGGGGTGGCTTCGTTGGGACCCGGGGAGCATTATGGGTGGCTGTCACTTCCTGTCTCCCGTGACAGCAGAGTTCTTCACGGCTCCTTTCTCCTCCAGATTGACCATGTCAACACTGCTCTCCCTTGACAGGAAGACTGAGACGGAAGGAATGGCTGTGGATCTGTTGTCCTCGCGGGTGACGGTAAGTGACGTTTGTCTTCTTCATGAATTGTCTTCTGGACTCAGAGATGCTGGCGTGCTTCCATACTTAGCCCAGGCACTTTTTTGTACAGCAGAAACTATGGAGAAGCCAGATTCTCTGAAGTTTTCCCTAGGATCCTGGGCTTGGCAAGGGACTGCTGAGGAGTGTGCCTCCTTTGTCCCTAGGCACTCTCTGTTCACCCCAAACTCACTTTGCAACCAGAATTTGAGTCACCTCTGAACTTACTGTGTGTGCTCTGTGCTACTGTGGGGGTTGGGTGTTCAACAGCCTTTGGGCTCACAGGGGATTTCGTCCCACTTGGGGCAAGGACACAGATGTGCCAGGAGACACCCTCTGCAAACACGTGTTGAACACTGCCTGTGCACAGGCTCCCATGCAGCACACTGGGGCACGAAGAGGAAAGGCGTGACTTCCGTCTTCAGGGCATTTGGCACCAATCTGAGGGAGCCTGAGTATGAGTCCGAGAAGGTTCCGGGGGAACATCGCAGAAGGAGGTGTTTTGCGTTGGTGCCGGAGGCCAGCACTGATGTGGGTGGTTCACGGAGACCAGGGCGTCCCAGGAGCTGGCTTGCCCTGGGCTTCAAGGCTGGCACCGGCGAGACACAGGGCGAGGGTCTCTGCGCCTCAGACAGCTGTGTTGCTCAACTATCCAGATGTCCCTCTCACCAGCCTCTAGCGCCCGTCTTTGTTTTTGAGTCGGGGTCTCACTCTGTCACCCAGGCTGGAGTGCAGTGGCACAATCACCGCTTACTGCAGCCTCGACCTTCTGGGCTTAGATGAGCCTCCTGCCTCAGCCTCCCAAGTAGCTGGGAGACTGTAGGTACGGGTCACACCCAGCTAGTTCATTTGTTTGTAGAGAGGAGATCTCACTTTGCTGCCCAGGTTGAAGGCTCTTTTTTTTCCCTCTGCTACTTTAGACTCTCTGCCTGGACCCTTTTTCCTTTTCTTCCCTCTTTGAGGTTCGTTTTCCTCACTTTCACTCTCAGCTTCCTGGATATCTTCCCCATGTCTCTGTCCTGGGGCCTGACCATTTTCCTAGCGTTCTCGCTGGTCGTTCTCAGACCCCTCTGACGTTTTTCCACATGGAAATGCCATCTCTCCCCTAGTGCTGGCTCCCTTTCTGGATCCCTCCCTTCTGTGGATTGTCCATGCTGCCGTCCCGAAGTCTCTGTCATTCATTGACTGCCGTTTCAAAGAGTAGTGATTGCTACAGGCAAAAAAATGTGGCGTCCCTGGCTTCAGATCCAGGCCAGGAGGTGACCTTGAGCCAGTTATTTTCTCTCTCTGCATCGCTTCCTCAGTTCAGGTGGGGTTAATAATCTACATACCTCACTGAGTTGACGTGAGTGTTAATAACTGGTAATTACAAACATATTTATTATGCGCCAGATTCTTTGTATTACTGTGTACAAAATATTTATCCTCTTCATATATTAACTCGTTTAGTCCTTAAAAGAGGACTGTTAATAACTGAATTTTCCAGATGAGAAAACTGAGGCACAGAGAAAGCAAGCAACTCAATCCAGGTCACATGGCTGACTTTTGAATCCAGACAAGACAGTCTGTGCTGTCAGCATCATGCTCTGAGAAAGTACACGTGAATGCTGAGAACAGTGCATGGTTCGTATTTTTTTTTTGAGTTGGAGTCTCATTCGGTCGCCCAGACTGGAGTGCAGTGGCCGCTCCCGGCCACCGCAGCCTCGACCTACTGGGCTCCGGCGATCCTTCCGCCTCAGCCTTCCAAGTAGCTGGAACTACAGGTGCGCGTTACCACGCCCAGCTAGTTTTTTGATTTATTGTAGAGATGAGGTCTCGCCAAGTTGCCCAGGCGGGTCTCGAACCCGCAGGCTCAGGCAATCCACTCACCACAGCCTCCCAAGGCACGAGATTACAGGCTGAACCACCGAGTCCAGCTATTGTCACTATTTTTGAAAAGAGTAATCTTAATTTTTTTGCAGCAGTTTTATATTAGAGAAAAATTGTATAGTCACCCAGTTTCCCCTATGATTAACATCCTGCGTTCGTATGGTATGCTAGTTACAACTAATAAGTCAGTATTAATATGTTATTATTAGCTAAAGGACATGCTTGGTTCACATTTCTTTAGTTTTTTACCTCATGTCCTTTTTCTGTTCAGGGTCCTTTCCAAGACTCCATACCACATTCGGCCTCATGTCTAAGAAGGCCCCCACTTTTTCAGACTTGCCTTGTTCGCAATGACCATAATAGTTCTGAGGAGTAGTGGTTGGGTGTTTTGTGGAATGCCTTCTGCTGTGGTTTGTCTGATGCTTTTTCCTCATGATTAGACTGGGTTGTGGGTTGTGGGGAGGAAGGTCCCAGGACTGCAGTGTCCTTCTTGTCACATCATGCCAGAGCTGCATGCTAGTGACATGACCCATAACTGTGGGGTGCTGGCTTTGATCACTGGCTGAAGAAGTGTCCGGCAAGTTTCTCCATGGTCAAGTAACTTTCTCTCTACCCCTCCATCCTGCACTCTTTGGGAGGACTCCTCTGTGTGCAGCTCACACTGAGGCCTTGCCAGCTGTGTTCCAGCTCCTCGAGGGCGGAGAATCTGCATGAATCATTTGGGAATCTGCAAGGAGGGTTGTCGCGTCTCCCGTGTACTTGTTTCTTCAGTCACTTATTTATGTCAGTGTGGCAACCACGGATCTCTCTATTGCCTCTACGTATCAGTTATGCTTCTTGTTATAGTAGTATCCTTAGTGGTTGCCCTGCAGTTGTCAACATAAACTTACAACTGACCTAAGTCGCCTTCAGCTACCCTTGTGCTGCTTCATGGGCAGCGAGGCGCCTCCTAATCGAGTGTTCCCAGTTCCTTCCGTGCAGTCCATATGACGTGGCTGCTGCTCGTTCCACCCACCCATGTGCTGTAATCACCCAGCAGCTTGTCATTACTATTGAGCAAGCTGTAATTTTTAAATTCAAGACTAAGAAAAATACAAGGTTTTATTTTGTCTTCATGTACTTCTTTGCCATTCCTCCTGTTTTTATGTAGATGCAAGCTTCTGACCTATGTTATTTTTTTTCTCTCCGAAGAACTTTTATCATTTCTTGCAAGGCAAATCTGCTGGTAATGAATTCCTTCAGTTTTTCTCTGCCTGAAACGGTTTTATTTTTCATCCACTCTGAAGAACAATTCCATTGGATATAGAATTCTAGGTTGGTGATTTTTTTCTTTCTTTTTTTTGTTTTTTGTTTTTGAGTTGGAGTCTCACTCTGTCGCCCAGACTGGAGTGCAGTGGCCGCTCCCGGCCACCGCCGCCTTGACCTGCTGGGCTCCTGCGATCCTTCCGCCTCAGCCTTCCGGGTAGCTGGAGCTACAGGCGCGCACTACCACGCCCGGCTCATTTTGATTTATTGTAGAGATGAAATTTTGCCAAGTTGCCCAGGAGGGTCTCAAACTCGTGGGCTCAGGCAATCCATTCCCCTCACCCTCCCAAAGCGTGGGATTACAGGCTGAGCCACGAAGCCCGGCTGATTTTTTTCTAACAGTGCTTTAAATATTTTGTTTCTTTTATTTACATCTCGCTAATGAGAAAATCGACTCGGTAGGCAAGGTGGGGCTTTTTTCCCCCTGTCTTTCAGAATTTTCTCTTTGACTTTGGTTTTCTTCATTTTGAATATGATATGCCTGGTTCTAGATATTTTAATGTTTATCCTGCTTGGCATTCTCTGAGCTTTCTGGTTTTGAAGTTTGGTGTCTGTCACTAATTTTGGGAAATCCTCTGCCATAATTACGTCAGATGTTCCCTCTGTGCCATTCTCTCTTTCTTCTCCTTCTGGTATTTGAATTCCGTAGTAACTGTAAATGATCAAGTAAGGTTGTATTTTTTTTTTTGAGTTGGAGTCTTACTCTGTCGCGCAGACTGGAGTGCAGTGGCCGCTCCCGGCCACCGCAGCCTCGACTTCCTGGGCTCCGGCGATCCTTCCGCTTCAGCCTTCCAAGTAGCTGGCATTACAGGCGTGCGCTACCATGCCCAGCTAGTTTTTTGATTTATTGTAGAGATGAGGTCTCACCAATTTGCCCAGGCGGGTCTCGAACCCGCGGGCTCAGGCAATCCACTCACCTCAGCCTCCCAAGGTGTGGGATTACAGGCTGAGCCACCGAGCCTGGCTAGGTTGTATTTTTAACCTGGGAGGGTATACATACTATATCAGTAAGAAACTTAAGGATTGAAACAGTACTAATCATTTATACTTTTTCACTGTTTCTCTGGGTCAGGAACGCATACTGGTAGGAGAAACAGCTTACCATACAAAATCTGAGTCGCAGCTGGAAGGTTTAAAGACAGGGGCCCAGTCACACACGTCTGGCAGGTGATGCTCTTTCTTGGCTCATGGTTGAGATCTTAGGGCTGATGGCTGGAACATCTGCTGGTGATCTCTCCATGTGTGTTGGGCTTACAGCAGGTGGCTAGCAGGTGGCTAGTCTCCAAATGCAAGCACTCAGTGAGACTGGTGAAACTTGTATTCTTTTATTACCTTTCTTTGGAAGTCACAGAGCATCACTTGCACTGAATTCCACCGGTTACAGCACTCCTAAGCCCCTAAGCATAGATCCGAGGGAAGGAAACAGAGAACTCATTTCTTGGTGGGAGAAATGTCACATTATACAAAGAGCATGTGAGATGCGAGAGAAATTGTGTGGTCATCTTGGAAAAGTACAGTCTTCTAGATCTGTCAGAACTTAAAATGTGCATAGACTTTATTTATTGGTGTACAGATACCCACAGATATCTGTATGAGATTGGTCATTGTACATTGTGACAGTGAAACCCAAAAACCATCTAAATACCCATAAATAAAGAAAACTGTTAGCTGGGCTCGGTGGCTCAGCCTGTAATCCCGTTCCTTGGGAGGCTGAGGTGAGTGGATTGCCTGAGCCTGTGGGTTTGAGACCTGCCTAGGCAATTTGGCAAGACCTCATCTCCACAATAAATCAAAAAATTAGCCAGGCG